TAAATTTATTGATTACACATATCTATAAAAATATTTATTAAATATTATGTATTTAAAGAAATTATCACCAAGTATTTATGATCGTGGTGATTGAGAATGGTTCTTGTGAGTTTGTTAAGAATTTATCGAGTTATGATTTTTACTAATTTTTATTAAAATGGAATTTACAAAGTAATATAGTTTATACGAATATACGATATACTTATATATTTGATAAAAAAAGTAGGAATATAATTATTTTATGAAGTAAATCCTAATCACATAATCACTACAGTGTACGATCATATATAGACATTTATTGCGTACATTGATGGTCACAGGTTAGCGTCACAAATCATACCGAAAATGCGGTGGCCAATCGTCTGAAAATTGTCTATTAAGTTATAAGCGGTACAGGTAATAAACATGAATCGATACCTATCGAGAAACCCTTTACTGTATCCCCAAGTATCTGCAAAATAGTCCTTTGGATATTTATAACAGAACGGCGGAAAAACCTATATTATTGCCTAGCAGGTGGAATTTTGCGGATCGTGGGGAGGGTGTAAGTGTGGAGAGAAATCAATTGGGGATAGGATATAGGTAATTGTTGATTTATGGAGACTGTTTATCGATTAAGAATTTACTGGATTTTTTGAATTTCGATAAACTTAAGGAACTGGAATGCCCGCAGCTATAAGATCAGACCATCCAATCATTCGAGAAACCGGAATTTTTTACTACGAAGTTGATATCATAGATAGTGGTCCTAGGAGGTAAATCTCTGAGATGAATTTTTGTAATGGTACCTTTAATAATGTTATAATGTTTATTATAGTTTAATTTGTGTTGGATTCGGTAGAAAGACTGGCTATTTAAATAGACAACCAGGTTTCTATTTTACATTCTGATTACTTTGATTTACTTTATATAATACAAATGATAAGATGTACTATATTTGCAAGCAACTAAAAAGCATTAAGTTCGGTCTCTCATATTTCTTGTTGTAGGCATGGATCATAAAACTATTGGGTACCAAGGTGATGATGGATTTGTATTTCTTGAGGCAGGCCTCGGAGGAAATCCATATGGACCTTTGTATTGTTCGGGTAACACTATCAGATGCTGTTTGAATTATTATGATCGAACCGTATTTTATACAAAGAATGGGGTTAATTTAGGTTTATTATTATTGCTGTTATTTCGTAAAGGGAAATTATCTTTTTTTCAATCAGTTTTTAAACACTTTTCAAATCAAATAGGAATCGCCAGTGTCAGAATATATGCTGCAAAAATGCATCCAATGATCAGTATGAGAAACCATTTTGCGTGTCTTGAAGCTAACTTCGGCGCAAGGCCTTTTAAGTATAATATAGAATATCACACAAAGGTAATGTGATGGCTTTATGCCATTTAAATATTTAAATTATATATTTGATAATCATCTACAAGTTAATAAATCCGATTCGCTTTATTCGTATAAATTTAGACGATTTTTATAAAATCGTTTTCGAAGAGGTTTCTTTTGCAATGTCCAATTTAGGAATATCCAAAAAAACTTAATTCATATTTTGAAGTGTAAAATGAACCGCGTCGTGTTTTAAAGTAAGTAAATTTTGAGAATAATAAAGTTTCTCAATTTATTTACCCGTGCTATATATCTTTTTTTTTTGAAATTGCATTTTACTGATTTTTAATATCACGTGAACTTTAAATACTGTATCCTGTATTTTTCAAAATTATATATATACATATTGTTCAGCATGGTTTGTATTTTATATCATTAGCATTGCATAACTATTTGTTGTCGTGATTAAAAAATATTGAATACATATTTCAAAAATATTTAAATTGTTGAAAATTTTCAATAAAATAATTGGTTTATTAAAAATATATATATAATTTTTATTATGTTGTATATTTATTATTACTTTTACAAAATTCAATTAAAAAAATAATTATATTATAAAATATGTAAACCGACATTATATTCATAAACTAACTGTAACCATACAAAATAATATTTATTAAATTTAATTTAATTAAGAAATTTTCATGTTATCAAAAAACAAATACTTAAATAATTAATAAATATATTTTTTATGAAAAAATATATATTCTTTCAAAAATTAAAAACCAATTTAAATTACAAATAAAAAGAAAAGTATATTATACATTAAAATTAATTTCTAATAATTATACATGATAATTTATAAAATAACCTTTTAACAAGTTTGTAATTGGTTTTCAAATCATATTATATTCAATTAGTTAAATCAATATTTAATATAATTGAACTGTATAAATAAATATGCAATAGAAAGATTGTGTAAAAAAAGTTTTTGATTTAATTATTATTAAAACTTCATAATCATAATTTAATTATTAGTCGTTAAAATTACAATCATTGTTTGTATTTGTGTAACGTTATAATGCATATAACATTGTATTCAGTGGAAAATTCGAGTTACAGTAGAGTGATCAAATATGCCTTGTCCAGAATGCAATCAATATATATACTGCTATTCATATGGATACCACTTTCAACAAAATTTTGATAAATGGACAAGTGGAGATAAAAAAATTGACGAATTTATACAAAAGACTCAACTCCAAGCTAGTGGTAGTAGAAAGATATTAGAATGGATACCGTATACACAATTTAAAGATGTCAAATATATCGCTAAAGGAGGATATGGCACCGTGTATTCTGCGACATGGGAGGATGGTGAAATTGAAAATTGGGATGTTCTCAATAAGAAATGGGTTAGAGTCGGTAAACGCACTGTAGCATTAAAAAGCTTAGATAAGCTTAGCTCAGTTGACGATCTTATAAATGAGGTAAAGAATATTAAACCTCGTTT